GCCAGTCTCCGCCCCTTCCCTCTTTCCCCGCCCCGCTCTCCCGGCAGGACGCAGCCGCCTGGCGTGCGGAGAGCGGCCTGTCGCGCGCCGGGCGCGGGGACTCGGGGTCCCGGCCGCGCTGGGTCGCGCACCTGAGCTGTCTCCATCCTCGGAGACCGACGAGCTCTCCGTGTCCTCGTCCTCGGAGCTGCTCCCGTCGTTTTCGGCGTAGTCCACCTCCATCTCATCGTGATGGTTGGTCTCCTTCTTGTCCCCTCGGGAGTGGACCGGCATTTTCCAGCCCCGCCGTCGCTTCCCACTCCCGGCGCCCAGCCCGGCCACCGCCGCTTCAATGAAGGGCGCGCTGAACGCCCCGACCCACCCAGCGGCCGAGCTCGCTCTCCCCCTTGGCTCCTCCCCGCCCCCGGCCCGGGCCTCACAACCTAACCCGCAGGCTCTGCGCTGGGAGCGCTGCCATTGGCTGAGGGCGGCCACCGGGCGGGGGCGGGGCTTGCCCAGATGCGGCGCGGTTGGTCGCCCGTCATCACGGCGCGGTCTGCCGGGGTGTGCCGGGAGTTGTAGTCCTCGGGGCTCAGACCTGCGGGGGCTGCGGGCTTCCAGGCCTCAGCAGCCCGGAGCGCTTCTTCCTCCTGGACTTCAAGTCCCACAAGGCACGGAAGCTGACACGCTGGATCCCAGTTGATAAACTAAACAGAAACAGATCGGGCGAATTTGGTCTGTATTTATCTTTTTCCCGCCAAGTGATTGTTTAACTTCCCTGGCTATCTAAGATGTGACTGTCAGATGTGAAAATGTTTTTTGCCTGAAAGATCTCTCTTGGCCTGCTGTTTGACCCTGTGGAACTGGAGAGCCATCTCTTTTCCCTAAGTATCTTTTATAACCACTAATAAACTGTTATACTGAGTTGTTAGCGTACACTATACCTTGCACTATGTTGCACAAAATCATTATATGTTTCTTGAAACGTTTACAAGTCTAAATGTTGTAATAATAGGGGAGGGAAGGAAGCTTTTATCTTGTACATTTTACAGAAGGAAATTTCATTAGCAGACAAATCTTTAAACTGGATGTTACCCATTATCAAGACAGGGCTTCTTGAAGTGGCAGTTTGCCGTTGAAAGATAGTTCAGGCCAGGCACGGTGGCTCACATCTATAATTCCAGCACTTTGGGAGGCTGAAGCGAGAGGATTGCCTGACCCCAAGGGTTCGAGACCTCATCTCTACAATAAATCAAAAAATTAGCCTGGCGTGGTAGCGCACTCTTGAAGTTCTGGCTACTTGGAAGGCTGAGGCGAAAGGATTGCCTGAGCCCAGCAGGTCGAGGCTACGGTGGCCGCAAGCGTGTTACTGCACTCCAACCTGAAGTGAGACTCCAACTCAAAAAAAAAAAAAAGGATCATAGAATATTGTGGATTGTACAGCACTGCTTTCTCAAACACAAGGTCTAAAGACGTGACAGAGGATGGTAAGGGTATTCGGGCATAACTACATTAAAGTCAGAATTGTAATTTAATGACAGAAAACATTTTAAAATCTATCCATCTCCTACAGAGTAAAATCCAAATTAAGGAACTTTTATTATTTAGCGTCTGCTTATGTTTCCCCTTCTCACTATGCAGTATTCTCCAAAACTGTACTCTTTATTGTTGGTAAACACACCAGCTGTTTCCCATTTCAGTGTCTTTGCACCTTCTGTTGTCTTTGCAACCCTCTTCCTCTCCTTTTGTTTTTCTTTTTTTTTTTTTTAATTCTTACATGTTTAAACTTCGGTCACCTGACTGGGTGGGGTGGGTCACACCTATAATCCCAGCACTTTGGGAGGCCGAGGTGAGAGGATTACCTGAGC